CGATTGTCTCGTCTCATGCACAAGCTGCTGCATCTGCCCGCCCGCCCTGCGCATGCTGTAGCGCCTACCGGATGTCTGTGACTCCGCGCGCTTGTCGGTCGAGTCTACCCCGCGCCTGCTGCTGCACCTACCCGACGTCCACGACTTCGCACGCTTATGGGACGAGCTCGAACTACGACCGAAGATGGAGGGAAGGGAAGGGAGAGGTGAGAGAGGAGAGGAGACGGCGAGATGCGCCGTGCGAGGAAGGCGCGAGGTAGGAGGCGAAGCCCTACAGCAGGCCGCCATCCGCCAGACACCGGTGCCATTGTAACATGTGCAACACCCGATCTACTTTTGAAACATCCACATGAAACATCTTTACGAAGACACATGAAACAATGAAACATGCAGTTGAAACATGGGCGTATAGCCATTTGCAACATGTGCAACAACAATATCTACTTTTGAAACATGCAGATGAAACATTTGCAACATACGTCTAAAACACCTAAAACACTTGAAACATAGGCTTGCAACATGCATATTTTGTCATTGCAACATATGCAACATCTAGATATACTTTTGCAACATCCAGATGAAACACTTGAAACAAAAGTCTGAAAAAGCCTGAAACACTTGAAAACATACGCATGCAACATGCGTATATTATCATTGCAACATATGCAACATCTTAGATATACTTTTGCAACATCTCCAGACCAAACACTTGAAACACGGCGGCGGCGGCGGCCACGGCCTACCTAGTGGCAAACTGCTGTAGCCAGCAAGCTTGGGTCAGGGAGACGTTGGCCCAGCGTAGACCTCCGTTGCAGGACATCGGGCCATCATTCCTTCCTGCGATTATCCCGCGCCTGCTCGTTGCCCAGGCTCGAGCCCGTCGGCACGCCTTCTACAGCGCCGCCGCTGCTCGGGCGCAGTTGTCCTGCCTCGTCCGCTTGCTAGAGATGGGGCGCGGTGTGGCCACCGATGGGGTATGGTGCGGTGGGGGAAGAGCACGGCGTGACGGAGGACAGGCGCGTGGTGGGGGAAAGGGACGCGATGGGGCAAAGTGGGGCGGGGCGTATGCTCAGTGACACTATGACACCGATGCAAGTAGGGAGGAAATGTAAGAGGTGGAAGAGACGTAGAGGTGTTGTTGGGCCTGTACGCTAGACATGCCCAGAAAAACTATGTCTTGACGCGATGGACAAGCGTGTGCAAGGATTTCCGTATATATAATACAGCCAACAGGCGCTTCAAGTATTTTTGGGATAAGACGTGAACATCCACTAATGTAATTACTACGTACTAGACTAGACCCACCTAGTATTGAGGATCGGAGAGCAACAGGGCCAGCTGGCAAAGAAGATGCACTCCGTATGTCTGTGTCATTCATGTATGTATTGAATCGTCCCCAATGGCCCACGGTGGCGCAGGCCAGGGAGACAACGGGAGTCGAGACAGTGGCGCGATGCGGCGTGGAGAGATAGTGGCGGCCTAGCGTGGCGCAAGCCAGGGAGGGTAAGGGCGTGGCGGTGAGGGTAGTTCGTGCCAACGACGGATTGGCGTGGAAAGACGAAAGAAGAAAGAGAAGAGGAGGTGTCCGTCCGGGTGGGCGTAGGAGAATAAAAGAAGAGTGAAGGAAAAGAAAAGAAAAAAAGTATTATGGACATTTGACCATTTTTAGAAATCGTTTAGAAACTACTTGGAGAAGTTGTTTTACCAAACATTTTTCCAACTAGCAAAGCTAGAGCCAGAAAAGCCGTCTCATCAGAGAAGCTATATGTGAAGTTGTTTGGCGGGAGCCGGACCTCTACCAAACATGGCATTCTCCTCCACTTATTAATTCATTAGAAAGATGGCAATGGATCTTTTTTCGATAATGATGGCGTTCGTCCTGTCTGGACGGACCCGCATAGGAACGACTCGACCGAGGCTGTGACCTCCCGCTCCCATCCATCCCATGACACCCGCTTCCACTTGCTTGGTCCGCTCGCCCGCTCCTCCCCCGCTCTCCACACCCACTCGCTGCCGCGCCCGCATAGGTCGCTGCTGCCGCTCCCTCCCTCCCTCCGTGACCTCCATGCTGCGCCCGCACAGGTTGCTGCCGCTTCCGCTCCCACCCTCCCTCCCTCCGCGACCTTCACGCGACCCCCACTGGAGACGAGGGCGACGGCGGCGACTCCAGCGAGGTAGGTCTGGATCTAAGCCCTCCTCCTCCACCTCCTCCTCTGGATCTGAGCGCTCCTCTGGATCTGAGCCTCCTCCCCCCTTCCTCTGGATCTGAGGGACGCAGAAGTGGCTAGGGTTCCGGCGAGCTCTGTTGTAGTAGCCTTATTTTGCTGTTCCAACAAGTAATATTTCTTTGTTGCATTAGTCTCTTTTTTTTGTTTCTAATGTTGCATCTCGCATTGCAGTAGCCTTGTTCTGATGTTGCAACAAGTAATATTTCTTTGTTGCATTGGTCTTTTTTTCTGATATTGCTTTCTCGCATTGTGCTTTGTTTTGTTGTTGCAGTAGCCTTAATCTGATGTTGCATTAAGTAATATTTCTTTGTTGCATTAGTCTCTTTTTTTTATCTTGCCTCTCGCATTGCAGTAGCTTTGTTCTGTTGTTGCAGTCGCCTTGTTCTGATGTTGCAGTAGACTTGTTCTGACGTTGCAAATAAGCAATACTTCAGATGTTTGCATGTCGCATTGCTCTGTGTTGCAAGGTAATGGAGCATGGTGGGGATGGGGCATGGAGGGCAATGGGCGTGCAGGGGATGGCAACACGGCCGGGGATGGCGACGCGATGAGGCATGACGGCGCAGCGGTGGACGGGCCGCACGTGGGGGAGCGCTCGTTTTCAGACGCGGGGGCACGCTCGTTCTATTCGCATCGGAGAGGTGGTCCCGTGGGGCACGGCGAGAGGACGGGATGGCGGCGCGGCGAGAGGACGAGCCATGCGCGAGTGGGAGGACGGGCCGCGCTCTATCCGTATTGTATCTGGTCGGGATCGAAACGCTACGTGCATTAGGCGCGTGTGAACGCGCCCCTGAAGCCGGACGGTTCGGACGCTAGTTGCGTCGATCTTTTTTTTAAAAAGTATAACACCCATTCAATACATTAACTTCCAAACCAATCATCACACAGCCTGTTCGGGAGGCCGTATCGTATCGTGGATTATTTACTGCTGGCTGGTTTGGTGTAAGAGAAAAACACTGTTCCCGGCTGAAAATTTACGATCGTTTACGAGGAAGCGAACAGGCTGACAATTAATATATATGCTCACAACCAAACCGACAAGCTTAATCAAATCCTCTCAAACAAAATGAAAAAAATAAAACCACCGACGACCAAAAGAAAGAGAAACTCACGTATACGGTATACATGCATATATGTACGTGTAGTCCGATATGATGGAGCTTAATGTCATGTCATATGGAGACGCTGTTGGGTATCCCTTTGCCGGTGATCCCCTTCTCCTTGCCGCCGACGTTGCCGACGTCCGGGAACAGCAGCGTGTACGGCACCTTGGCGGGTCCCTTCCGGTTCTTGAGACGCAGGTCTCTGTTCCTCTCAGTGACCCGCTTCTCCACCCGGTGGTGCTCCTCCCGGAACCTGTCGAGCAGCTGCAGCACCTCGCCGTCGTCGGTCCACGCCGCGGTGGCGCGCTGGCCCAGGTAGAGCTCGTCGGAGGTGTGGTTGGAGAGCACCTCGATGAGCGTGAGCCCGAGCGTGGTGGTGAAGCGGTCTCGGGCACCGTGTCGAGGAAGAACCTGTCCGGGTCGGCCTCCAGCTGCGCCATCTCCGGGGATCCCGGCAGCGGCAAGAACCGGCGGCACCGGGTGGGCCGGTTGGGCATGAACCCGGCGTACCCGTACTGGCCGAAGTTGACGGCGGCGTGCAGCGCGGAGGCGATCCAGATGAGCGTCGACAGCGACTCGGCGAGGTTGGCCACGGTGTCGAGCTCCAGCCAGCACACCGGGTCGCGCTGCCGGTCGCCGTGGCCGACGGTGCGCACGTCGTGCCACCACGCCTGCAGCTCGGCGTCGGCGGCCACGGCGGCGTCGGAGTGGTAGAAGTGGGCGCAGTAGCTCCGCACCCAGCCGTCGATGGCGCGCCACACGTCCATGCCGTCCACCGCGTACGGGTAGTCCTCCACGTGCAGGTGCAGGGTCGTGGTCCGGGGATCCTGGACGCCATCCCCTCTTGACGAGGTCGTTGGGCAGGGACTGGTCGGTGAACCTCCACTCGGAGTAGATTGCCGAGGACATCTCCATGGCGTACTTCCCCGGGGACATCCGAACATGGTCCTCTCCAGGATGCCTCCTGCGCTGAGCAGGATGCTCCTGGACAGCGTGTTGATCTGCATGTTGTCCTTGAAATGTGGCTCCAGCAGCTTGTGGATCGGGTGCACGGCGCTCAGCTGCCTCTTGGTGGCGATGATGAACAGCTCCACCGTCGCGTGCGTGAACAGCCTGTACATGTGGTGTCGGCATGGATATGCAAGCATGGTCATATACTCGTATATGGATGCATGCATCAAGAACGTACGAATCATGCACTGCATTGACCACATGAAACAGATGACATGGTACCGATGCATGCTTACTCGATCACTCACCAGTGGCTGATGAGCTGATGGTAGCCTGAATCATTGACGGAGACATGAGCCTTAGCAAGCCACCACAGATGCCCATCGGTGCCTTGGCTCGCAGGGAGGAAGACCCTGCTGATCTCGCCGTCGCCGGCGCCGTCACTGGGCAGGCTGAGCTCTATGACGAGAGGCTTGAGGGTGCCGTCGTCCTTGAGGAAGAGCAGCGTGCGCGACGCGTAGACGCACACCCCTTCTTGCGTGTTGATGCGCCGCAGGTACGGCATCACGTAGTCATGGTGGTCAAGGATGTACAGCCTCTTCTCTTCTAATGCCTGCATAATACTCCGTATCATATACATACATAAAAGACGGTTGCATTGCATTTACATGGTTAAGTAAGTTCTTCTCTGAAACACAAAAATTTGACGACGACTGACCTTTTGGACCGTTCGTCCTTGGAGCTGCCTCTCGATATGCGCGGCGGTAATGGAGCTCTCCTTGCCTCCTCTGCTCACCGGCGGGAACACCTCTCGTCTCCTGATCACCACTGGATTGAGCCCCGCCAGCATCTCCCTCGCGAATTCCTCGTCGGTTCGCCATGCCTCTGGCTCATCTGCAGCACCAGCCATCAAATAAGAGGAAAGATGATTCATCATCAGACATCAATCTAGCTAGTTAATCCAAGGAATTGTTCCCTGTCAGAGAGAGGCAGAGCAGAGCACACAACAAGTGTAGTGACAAGACAACGACTCACGCTCGATGACTTGAGGGATGGGGAACTTGACGGGCGTCTCCTTGACCATCTTGGACACCTGCTTGTAGGTCTTGTGCGACGGCACCGACGTCTTGAGCTTGTCCATCACCTGCCCGTCCACGACCGGCTGCTGGGGCTTCCTGTACAGGTCGCCCTTGAGCTGCTCGAACCACGACCGGAAGCTGTTGATATTGCCATGGAACTGCGCCTTAGACTCCGGGAGCACGAAGTGCGTCACGGCCTGCACCGCCAGCGTGAGCACCTCCGCCAGCTTCGTCGGGCTGAACCGCTCGTCCGGCGGGATGTAGAAGTCCAGGTTGATCATGTGCTTGCGCGTCTCCGTCACGCCGTCTGCGATCAATCAAGACTAGTGTCAGTCAGATTTAGATGCAGAAATCAGATCAATGGAGATAGATAGCTAGCTAGCAGTGGTGTGTTGTGTATATGTGCCTGTCTTGAAGAGAGGGCGGCCGGTGCGGCAGCGTCGCGGGTACGGGTACATGGAGGTGATGCCGCCGAGCACCGGGCGGGCGTGGTCCTCCTTGACTCCTTGTCGGGGTTGCCCAGGTCGTTGTAGTCGTCGTAGTCGTAGACGCGCTCCCAGTCCTTGCGCTCGCCGCGGCCGCTGCCACGGAGGCTGCGCAGCTCCTCGTCGCGCAGCAGACGCAGGGCCTCAGGCGTCTTGTCAGGCAGGTAGCTCTGTTGGGTTCGCCATTGTCAATCTGTCATGTCATGGAAGCTTAAAAGTACTAGTAGGTCCATGATTCGGTCCTGACGACACGCACCGTGTTGATGAAGAAGACGCGGTCGGCGTTGGTCTTCTTGTAGGGGTAGACCCAGGAGTTGCAGTCGAAGTGGATGCTCCGGCCGGCCTCGGGCATGTCCATCTGCACGTGGCGGAGGAAGAAGTGGTCGTTCCTGAGGCCGTTCTTGACGACGACGGTCCCGGCGTGCCGAACTCGGCGTCCACGAAGAAGGTCACCTGGTACGTCATGGTGCTCGTCTTCACGGCGCCCTGCTTCGCCTTGGTCTTCTTGCCGCCCTTGAGCGGCGCCTCCGCGCTCAGCTTCCCCTTCCCGGTGTCTGCAGATTGCGATTGCGATTGCATGCCCAAGCAGTTGAATTTGAAGCAGCAGTAACCGATGGATCAACAATTGATGAATTGGATTGGAATTCAAGACGACAAACAAGCAAGCAAGAGTACGCTGCTGGGTGGGTGGTGAACAAGAAGAACGTACTGGGATCCATCTGTGTGCTGCTGAAGAGGCGAAGCGTGGTGGTCTTCCCCGGCGACGACAGGCCCAAGTGGCAGGACACGACCACGGTGCCACTGATGGCGATGTGGTTCTCCGGCGCATGAGCCGGGCTCCGGCGGTCCCAACAGAAGGGCATTTGCATTGGCCGAGAAGGATCGACGGAGCAGTAGCACCAGCAGCAACGTACGGCTAGCTCTAACGTACACCTGACCTGAACCTGGTCCAAGCTAGCTAGCTCTCCTGATCCCTGTTGAGGTTAATCCCAAGCGCTAGCTAGCTTATATACATGTCAGTCGGCAGTCGTAGTCTAGTAGATGCATGCCACGGGGGTGGGGATGGATTATATTCTTGGAGTGCGTACGTGGGCTTGCAGGCCGGGGATGATCGAGCTAGCATCATTCGTCTGGAGGGAATGTGCTGCTGCAGGATTGAGCAAGAAAAGCTAGCTAGCGCGCAGAAAGAAGAAAGATCGAGGAGGATGGGGAGAATGTGTGCCAGCCTTTGGCCTCACGTACCCCCATCTTCTTCTTCTTCTTCTTCTTGTGTGCATCTGAAGCTACCTGCTGGCTGCTGGCTGCTGCTGCTGCTTTACTTTTCTTTTCTTTCAGGGAGAGGGAAGCATATGTATCCAGCCACAAATACAGTGCAGTTGAGAACTCATCAGTTTCATTTCATTCTATGTAATGTAATGTATGTATGTATGCTTTTGTCAGTTTCGTTCCATTCTGTGGGGACAGGATAAACATGCAACTTGCAGCGTATCACTGACTAGCGCAGCAGTTAGTTACTATAATAAACTGAAAGTGAGCTCGTCCTGGAGACCACCGCATCAATTGGTGCGGCAGGCCTCACTATACTTGGCCATCGGGCCGGCCCGGCTTGGCACGGCCCGGGCACGGGCCAGGCACGGCTCGGAGGATGTCGGGCTGGCACGGCACGTCGTGCCTCCCGTGCCGTGCCGCTGCGGGCTTCGTGCCTTGCCATCAGCCTAAGCACGGGCCTGTGGGCCTAAATCCGTGCCGTGCCGGCCTGCTAGGCACGGTCAAATCACCAGGCCGTGCCAGCCCGAGGCCCGTAGGGTTCAAAACACATCAAAAAATTCATCTCAACAAGAAGTATTCAAATTTGAAGTATTTTTTTCCCAGAAGAACTTCAAACCAAAACCAAAACCATACACACAGAGAACAAGAGGAAATTAAAAGGATAACTGAGCTGTGTGGCCGCCTTGCTCTGGGGCCAGGCCAGGCCAACCGGCAGGAGGCCATCCTCGTCGGACATGGCTGCCTCTCCAGCCCCGTTCCTCGACCAGCACCCAGAGTCTAGAGAAGACGACACTCAGTCAGCAACGACGGCGGACGGCGGAGGAGGGACAAACAGAGACAACCAACTCACATAATCAACGAGATCTAGAGGGGAGATAGGGAGAGGGAGAAGGGAGAGGCAGGGATGGAGGGGAGGACGCCGGCGGGAGGCGGATCGTGGTCACCGGAGTCGGCGTCGGAGTCGACGTCGGAGACAGCGAGGCGTCACTGGCCACTGCGTTTGAGAGCGGTGCGGCGGCTGGTGGTGGTGGGATGCGAATGGGCGAATGGGGAATTGGGGATTAGGGTTAGGTTACGAGCGGGAGTGCGGGACTGAGGGGAGGCCGGGAGGGGGCGCTGCATCGGCCGCCTTTTATAGGTGGGGTCTAGGGTGGCGGCGTGGGGGGAGCCGTTGGCGAGCTAGGCCGCTGTCGGGCCTCCTCCAAAACCCCGTGCCGGGCCGTGCCAGCCCGCGGGCTCAACTGCCGGCCCAGGCAGCCTGAGCCCGGTGGCCTGCAGGCCGGGCCGTGCTATGTCGGACCAAAAGGCCGGGCTTCGGGCTGGGCTGCCGGACCTCGGGCTGCATGGCCAGGTATAGGCATCACAAGTCAGAACAGACGATCGATGTGGATTTTGATTTGGTGGTTGATGCATGTTCTCGGATCCATTCATTTGTCGATCTAGCCAAACACAGTAATGGCTTGATGATAGAAATATCACTCGGCTTGGTACGTTGGCCAAGTGCATAATTCAATCGGCTTGTTTGGACAAGTCAAATGGCACGGTTAACAGCTAGCAGCTTACAGGCTAGGTAATAAAGGAACGTACGTTATTGATGATAAAAGAAGAAGAAGAAGAAGATTACTTGCAGTAGCTGTTGGAGCTTTGAAGGGAGCTATAACGTGAGTTAATTGGCAAGATGATTAAATAAACGGAGAATATAAATAAACAAAGCAAAAGGATGCCTCATATACGCCAAAAGAACCTTAAGCCTTCACCTACGTATAGTTACGGCCAAATATACAAAGGAGGATCAATAAATAAGCCTCACTGTTCTTGGTTTATTCGGTCATCAGGACTCAGGAGTTCGATGGCCGGAATCCCCAATTTGGTGAGCGACACTCGTTAAGAGTTTTTCACCACTTCAGGTGCGGAGTCAAATCCCGCGCCGCACCTACGTCTTCGATCAAATTAATTAGCGCGTGGACCATGAACGACGAATTAACCCGAGAGCGTGTGCACTACTGCACACCGTGTCCACCAGCGGGCCCGGTTCTGTCGTGAAGCAGGTAGGTCTCTCTTTCTTTCTTTCTTTCTGTCGGGTTCATAAATCCTGGGTCTTTCGGGGACTGGCTTTCACACCAGGGCTCGGCCCAAAAAAACAGCATGTAGTTCATGGGCCGGCCCAAGAGTCTAAAACACAACGGGTCGGGAGAACAGTCCGGTCGCTGACCGGGAGGTCTACCCAAAAGAACAAACGCCCGCTCTTCAACTTCTTCGGCCCACCTCTCCGATCGGAACACTCGCTCCGGACACCAGCCGCCTCCAGGCGGTCTCTCCGATCGGAAGGCCTGGCCTAAAACGCTGCTTCCTACTCCGACCCTGCGACTCCGACCGGGGACCCATAGGAAGCCTGCTTGCCGCTCTTCTCCGACTGGCTCGGCTAGGGTCGACTGGGGCCATCCGACCAGGGACGCCCGCTCGGAAGAGACCAGGGGCGAATGGAGAAGGCAGCGCACAAAGTCAAACAACGATACCGGACCATACCTTGTACGTCTGCGGGAACAGTGCTCCACAACCGCCCTGACACAAACAGTATTGTAGGCGCCGACATTTGTATCTACAGTATTGTAGGCACCGTTGGACTCCCGTACGGCAAAAAGCCCCCACATGCCTTTGGGCATCGATAGTACTGTGGGCGCCAGGATTCACCATACCTGGTACACGTGGTAGGGCTCCTCACATACCAATAGTATTTTGCATGTACCAACATCCAGCCTTCCTGAAAAAGCCAACGCAACCTCCCATATGCACATGACATTCTACAGTGACATCAACAGTATTGTGGGCGCCTACCATCATCGCTACCCTCGTCGGCGTGGGCAACAAGGCTTAGAAACATCCGTACTCTCTCCCTCTCATCTGTAAAGTCATCCCCTTTATCTATAAAAGGGGGTGCGCTCCCTCCAACAAAGGAGGTTCACTTCTTCAAGTTCAGACTCACTAGATCGATAGCTCACAAACCCCTCAAGCACACGCTTGAACACCTAGCTCATAGAGGAGTTCCGGTCGCCCTCGGCCCTTCCGGTCCGGACCGACCGGGCCTCTCGTACACCCCTTCCTTTCTCCTTCTCGTTTGTAACCCCACTATAGACTTCGAGCACTGGCTCAGGAATAAAGTCACCGACCGACCCAGACTAGACATAAGGCACGTTGCCTGAACCAGTATATATCCTGTGTCATTGAGTGCTATGCCACCTCCGATCAAAACGTACATCAAAACTACAAATATTCACTAGTTGGTCACTTTCTGTACCGATACTTTCTATATTTCTTTTTCTCCTTTTATTTTTTCTATTTTCTACTTTTTCCCTTTCCCTTTATATTTTTTATGCAATAGCCTATCTATTTTACATGATCGTATATGATACCAGTTGTACATGAATGAATATTATAATGCTATGCGCCATATTTTTCCTTTTTCATCATTTTCCTCTATTTTTTTCACTTTTTCTCTTCTTCTGATCTAACTAAATCTTCTGACCGCAAATTTGTAAAAGTTATTATGATGAGACGTTATGTTGATAATTTGTCATGTAAAAAGTTATGCATAGAATCTGTGGTAATTTTCTAAAATGAAAAGTTACGAAAATATTTTTTTTTCCAAAAAAGAGAAGTCAAAAAGACTATTATGACAAATTGTGATGATGAGTTATTCCGTATATAGTTATGCGCATAATTTGTGCGTATAACTTCATAACTTTCCAAAAATAAAGATATGTAAATGTTTTTTACAATAAGAAAAAAATAAAAGTTATGCACATCGGTTATATATATAACTTTGTAACTTTCCAAATAAAAAAGACGCGGGAATAAATTTCTAGGAAACTGTGTTGATAAGTCATGTTTTACAAAATATTGTACATAGTATGTGCATAACTTTACAACTTTCTAAGAAAATATGGTGATAAATTTTGCACAAAAAATTATACGTAAAAGTAATAAGTATAACTATGTAACTTTCCAGAAAAAGGAAAGTTGTTGAAAAGGTTCTTTTTTCAAAAAAGGAAAGTTGTGGGGTTGATGGGATTGACACCTGGATTTCAAGCTAGCAGTCGTTCGCTCATTAGCTAGGTTGGTTAGATGGTTTTCTTGTGATTGATAGTAGACCGAACCGAGTTGGATTCGGAACCTGAGTATTTTGGGAATATGCTTGACAGGATCCAACCATGTATCAGAAAGACCATCCGTCCTATAAATATAAGAGACTAATTGAGAATATACGGTCGACGTAAAACCAATCTACTATTATCATGTTCTTTTACTTTATTCTACTTTTCACATCTAGGTCAATAAATCATGTTTTGCTAGTTTCTCGTAAATAAGCTGTGAGCCCTGGCGTCATCGGACTATCATCCTTTGTAGCTCTTGCTAAAGATGACAACGGACACTAAAAACCTGTGTACCCACAGGCATAAGATCCAGTGGGCGTGGATACGGGCGCCAACTTGTGCCAACGGGCACAGGCGTGGGTACAGATTTGTACCCAACAGAAAGAAAGACGGGTAAGAAAATATCATACCCACATTCGCAAACCCGCCAAACCCGCACTGACATGTGGGGCCATTGCAAAAGAGGTATATAATCTACGTATCCTAGGGTTCCATACTTCCATCCATCCACCCTGCCACCCCATCTCATGCCGCCACCCCGCCAAGTGCCTGCGGGCCTCCACTGTCCACTCCTCTCCTGTCTCCTCTCCAAATCCAGTGCCATCCCATTTCCTCTCCTTTCTCATCTCCTCTCTAGATCCAATGCCGTCCGCTGGCTGCCCGTCCTTCCTCCGTTACCATCTGCCTTCCACCCTCCCTCCGACACACGTCGTCTGCCGTTCGCCCGTCCTTCCTCCATCGCCGGCCATCGTCCGCTCTTCCTCCGACGCTGGCAGCCGTCTACCTACTTTGCGACGCTGGCAGCCGTCCGCCCGCCTTCGAACATCGATCACCGACCGCCCGTTCTCCGACGCTAGCCGCCGTCCTCCCCGCTCCTGCACTAGCTAGAAGTAAGCCGCCGACACACCATCCTCCCCACGTAGGCCACCGTCTCTAGCTCCCCTCCACCCAGGCACCGGAGGCTAGCGGGTATCCGGGCATGCCCGTGGATACCGGGCGCGGGCACATAATGCTGCCTGTGGGGGGTGGCGGGTGCGGGTACACAATTTTACTCATGGTTGCGGGTATGTGAGACCTTATATGTGGGTAAAATACATGCTGCCATCTTTAGTTCTTGCTCATAAAGTAGTCGGTTCGATTTTTTGTTGTAAAAGAAAAAATTATCTCTTTAGAAGTTTGCTCAAAAACTAGTCGTGTGTGCTTATGTGTTAATTTTCGACATTAACGGTATGTTACACAAAAGAGAATACGTTGTGTGGGTGTGGGTCTTCTGAAGATTACTGAGGCCGTTCTCTTTCGAAACCATTTCTACATAGTGGCAGTCTTTGCAAAAGTATTAGGTAATGACTTTGTTCCTGCCATGCGTGCGTTTGTCGGCGCGCACACATGCTCTCCTCCGCCATCGATTAGTATTCGAGGGTTGGCGGCGTTCTGTTACTTTCCACCCAACCCCAGTACTTGGCCCACTAGTCATAGAGAGAGGGAGGAGTAACTGTTCAAATCTTGGGACTCGCGCTTCCTCTCCCTTCCCAATAGGGCTCGCTATCCGCCTCAGACACAACTCTCTTCGTCTGCATCTCCGTCGCGAAGATTCCCTCGTGGCGACCGGATGACACCACTAGTGACTGTAGTTTTCTGCCAGACTCGGATCTAGGTGGAGCACAGGCGTCACCGCGCTCACCGGTAAGATCTGTCCCAACGCTTCTAGCTCACGGGTTCGATTTGGATTTGTTCGCCATCTGACTACAATCCCTTCCGATTGCACGCTTCCACCCATCCGTAGTGCTTCTGGTGTGTTGCACCTCACCCTGGTCTCACCACCTCCGCCTCCAACTCCGACCACCGCTCACGGCCACCGGCGACGTGCTGCCTCATTGCACTAGTGGCTATACGCCTTCGCCCGTCGACCCCGCCATATGCGCCTGCGTCCGGGCTACAACAACTTCACCTTCACTCGCCAGGTTCGGATCCACCCCTCACTGCTCGTCCGCCGTCCCCTTCTGCTATGCTGGTGGGCAGGCGCCGTGACTTGCAGAAACCAAAAGCCTGCCGTGGCGCCAGGGTGAGGAAGGCATAGCCATCGTCACTGTAATTGCTACTGCTTCTACAGATTGAAGTGCGACCTCGGGGACGACTACGGAGGCAGAGCTTTAGAGAAGGGAGGGGCTGCCACCACCGTCGCCCGCTCTGCCTCCACACCTGCCCAACAACACGCCCCTATGGCTGTCCAAGAGGCTGGGGGTGACCATTGGGGGCACAAGGACTAGGAGCTAATTCTCAATCTACAGCTCAGGATCAGGTGCATCTCTTGGCCATGATGATTAGCTATTAGATTTTTTTGTGTGACCTAGTTCATGGTCTTGAAAATGCCCATTTGTTATCTCACATAGTTCGAAAAATATTCTACGCTATGACATTGTTAATTAAGCCTTAATGTTGGCTATTTGTGCTCAATGTGCATCATTATGTCTATTCTATTTAGGTTTTGAGATTCTTCTTGTCTAATTGGAATTGAATGCCTTGAATTTTTTTATTTTTAGCTTATGCTTGGTCGAGGCACAAACGAGGCACCCAGTCCATTTTTCTACATCTAATTTGTTTATAAGCAGCTCTTGTCGGTGGAACTGCAAAATACCTCAGGTGCTTGTTGTTTCCTTTCTTTTTATTTCTTCTCCAATAACCAATGCCATCCTGTTTCTTAAGACTGTTATCCTTTTAACTGATTGTTGTCAGATTGTCGCACGTACTATAACAGTTTACCTATGATTGTTCAATCCCTATCTATTTAGCATCAGTGGCAATTAAAACTAGTAGTGTCAATTTATTAGTAATTACAAGAATATTACGAGGCCTTTACTCACTACAAGAAATTACATTAGATTTCAGTCTATGGTTTGTTGCCTGGCCACGCTCTCTGGTTTCTTTTTATTTCGCAAGAACTGCAAAATTGTTCTATACCAAGAGGACAATGGCTATACCTTATCTAATTTACTTTAACAATCATGCTTTACGTATGCACTTTCAGTTCTTGCGAATGTGCTATATATTAGATCAGCACAATGTTTCCTAAATCTTTCAATATATGCTTTATGGAATAGGCATGCAGTAGGAAGGCTCACTCTGTTCCAAGCATCTTGGCTCCCTACAATCTGCTGTGCTGTTCATTCAGTGATCATCACGCTATTGCTAGTGTTTAGGAGTACTTATCATGCATGTATTCATTTATGCTCCAGCTTTCACTTGTGCTCTCATCCCATATGTAAATTAGAATCTTGCTGCTCCATAGTGCGGCGTTTCTACAGGAGCCGGGAGGTTTGGAACGGAGTGACGCGATGGTGCTAATGTGTGTCTTATATTACAGTGAAAGTATTAAACTTCATGTTTTGAACCGCTCTTCATGTATTGAACTGCTTTTTTGAAATAATTGAACTGCTACAGTAAATGCATTGAACTGCCTTTTTGTAATTAGTGAATCCTAACATGTATTAAACTTCATTTCATGTCTATCTTTTTTATTTTACCTACATCTATGCCAAATGAGCTGAACCCTTCATCCAACATGGTCTCTTAGGTGCTGCTTGTGTTAGGCAATGGGTAGAGGACAACAAAGCCAACCTGCTGCTTCATCGTCTTCAACGGTTCCTAAGGTATGTGCACCCAATCCGTTAGCTCTGTTTTTTGTATTCACCTGTTTTGTGCACTCAATTTTTAGTTGCCGCTATTTTCTAACCTTTTGCAATCCATCTCCTATTCTTAGCCTCGAAGACAGCGGGCTTCCCCATCGAGGCTCGTGAAGCTCTACAATGATTTGACTCAATCTCAGAAGAAAAGAATACAGGCGATATGTTTTGGTGGTCTCCTAAAGATTGCTTCTAAGACCCTTCCTGCAGGTTTTGCAGACTAGTTGATGGCTGAGTGCTATGATGTTGATTCATCGGAGCTGGTGTTTCCTGGTAGGGGAAGGATTTCAGTCAATGCTGATTCAGTGTGTCGTGCTTTTGGTCTTCCAAACAATGGTGATGAAGTTAAGTATGAGCTTGATGTTGGTGCTATCAACTTCATCAATGGTGAGTATAGTATTGATGAAGGGACAACACCTACTATTGACTCTATATTGGAAAGGTTGAAGGAGAATAAGACAAGCAATGATGATTTCCTAAGGTCCTAGCTGATGATAGCAATTTCAACATCCCTATGTCCTCCAACTGGCTTAGCTATTAGCCCAAGGTGCTATCTAGCCATTGTGGATCTTTCTTGCGTCAAGAAGTTGAATTGGTGCCGGTTTGTTGTTGACCAGCTTAAAGACGTAGCAACCAAAATGGGCAAAAGAAGATCTTTTAAGGGTTGTCTTCTTGTCCTTGTGGTAAGTTGCTTCGTGTCGGGTTCATAAACCCAGGGCCCCTCATGGACCGACTTCCCAGCAAAGGCTCAGCCTAGCAGACGACGTTGCGAACGACGCGCAACTCCTGGGCCAGCCCAAAAACCTAAATGATAGGCCAAGAAAGAACGGCGCTCACTTCCAACTCTGGCCCGCCTCTCCGACCGAAATGCCTGGCCAAGGAGGAACAACGCTCGCTTCTGACTCTGGCCCGCCTCTCCGACCAGAAGGCCTCGCTTCTGACTCTGGCCCGCCTCTTCGACCGGAAGGCTTGGCCGAGGAGGAACAATGCTCGCTTTCGACTCTAGCCCACCTCTCCAACCGGAAGGCCTGGCCAAGGAGGAACGTCGCTTGCTTCCGACTCTGACCCGTGTCTCCGACCGGGGATGCACCGAACCTCTACTTATAGCTCTTCTGTGACTGGCGCAGTCGGAGCCGACTGGAACCAACCGACCTGGGACGCCCGCTCGGTGAGAACCTAGGAAACGGACGAGCAAGTAAGGTAGGACGCTCAAGTCAAAGGCAATACCAAGGACCGTACCCTGTACACCTATAGGACAGTACCAACAAGACATGTCAGAAGGGTGCCCTGCAACCTTCCAGGCATGTCAGAACCCAAGCAGTGTTGTGGGCGCCATCAATTCCCATACCAGGCAAACACGGTAAAATCCCCCACATGCCTATGGGCATCGACAGTGTTGTGGGCATCGTCATTTGCCATACATGATGAATGCGGTAAAACCTCCCACATGCGTCTGGCATAAATAGTGTTGTGGGCGCCTATAATCATCTTGTACCCGACGGTGTGGGCAACAAGACTTAGTAGACGTACTCTATCTCTCTCTCTGGCTTGTAGGGCTATCCCCTTCATCTATAAAAGGGGATGCGCTCTCTCCCAATACGGATGGATCCATTCACAATTAGTTCACTCACACACACGACGATCCATCGACAACTCTCCAAGAGAGGACTTCAAACGATTCAAACAACCAATGATTGACTCACCCTCTGCTAGCTTTAGACACTCTAAAGCTACACAGAGTGCATGCTCGAATACTTAGCGCACATAGGAGCTCCCGTCACTCTCGGCCCTTCAGTCTAGAGTCTGACAGGACCTCTTGCACCCCCCCATCTTACTCCCTTCCATTTGTAACCCACAACAAACTTCGAGCACCTAGGCTCAGGAATAAAGTCACCGACCGACTCAAATTGGACGTAGGACACGTTGCCTAAACCAGTATAAACCCTGTATCATTGAGTGCTAGGCCACATCCAATCACAACGTATGGCAAAACTACAAATATTTATGTGTTGGTCACTTTCTGCACCAACAGTTGGCGCCGTCCGTGGGGAAGACATCGTATGTTCACGCTTTTGGTCATCAGATGGCCCACCTTTCCGCCATCTTCGCCATGGCGGGATCAAGCGATACGACTCGCTTTGGCTTGCTAGAGTTTCCCACACTCCCACCTGTTGGGACGTGGGATCCTCCCATCTTCGAGCCATCACAGGCCTTCCTCTTAGGAAGCCTAGACTTCATCGCCGACCGGCTCGACGTGCTGCACATCTGTGAGGAGGCACTTGTTCGGCACCCATCGAAGGAGGCGCATCCTCCATCGGCTCTAGGATGCCCGATGACTTCAACGGTGAGGCGCCTGCGCTTCGTTCCAAGCATACGCTCTGCTCAAACCCCACTGTGAGTAATGTACGTACTGTTATTTACTCGCTATTTACTGAGTAATGTACGTATTGTTATTTACTCGCTATTTACTGTCTTTCGCCGATTCTCCGGAGGGATCCCGTTGTCCATGCCGTGACCGCCATGCGACCGATTCCCCTACGGCCTTGCATCCCCTACGGACGCGTACTCCCGAGGGCTCCGAAGGATGCTGGCGCTGCCCCCTCTCACATCTGAATTCATGGGGATGGCGAGCTACGCTCCTGCCTCTTTTCATGACCTCATGGATGACGATGTTGAGAGCGATGACTCTAGCATCGGCGATGTCATGGCACCCAGCCACCCTCTGTCCTAGGAGTGCGCTATGGCAGATGCTATGGGACAACCACAAGTGGTGGCGGAGTCTCTACAGACCCACACCCCTTCGGACCCTCGCGTGGATGCCCTCGTGTGTGCCTAGGCGCACGGCGAGGAGCTATGACAAAGGTGGCAGAACCAGCCGCCACCTGCGCCGACGCGCCCGGCACACCACGATGCGCCCCGTGCGTGTAACCCGATGAGCGGTGCCCGGGGTCATGCCCGCCAGGTCCAGTGCAACATCATGGATGGGGGGACGATCCCCCACAGTTCGCTCAGGCTAGCCAAAACATCGCCACCATAGCGATGCTTCAACGCGGCCTTCCTGAGCTGGACAACCCCTAGGAATAGGCGATCCACCAGAACCTCTGGGCACTGGTGGAGACCGCCGCCATTCAACAGATAGAAAGCTCTGTGTTGCGCCACTGACTCACGTCCTCTCTCCCCTCTAGGGGAGCGGGGACGCACCAGTCGTATCGCTCCATCCGCTCGCCTCTATAGCCACCGGGCGTAGAACATGAGGGCACAGCTGTGCCACGGCCTAACCCGGCACCCGCTCCACACCGACTGCCTGTGCGCGAACGCCTTGAGCTGAACCAAGACGCTCATAGTGTCATCAGCAACCAGCGTCGGGCCCGGTATGATGATGACGTCTATCGAGCGGCGGTGAGAGCAGACGACACGGGCTCCGGCCGAACCATCGAGGGGACCGGTGAAACGCACCCCAGGCATGGTCACCGACCTAACGACCGGAGTCCTAGCCTGGATGGCCTGCGACCACGGGCCTTTGGCCAGCGCATCTAGAGAGCGCTGTTCCCATGGCGCTTCTGACCACCGACCAACATTGCCAAATATACCAGGGAGACAAATCCCGATATATGGATCACCTGCCGAGCTAGGGGAGTGGATGACGATCACTTCATCATTCAATACCTCCCCATCTACATAGGGGAACATGTTCGAGCGTGGCTCGAATTACTCCCGCACGACAGCATCCGCGACTAGGCGGACCTCAAGAGGGTCCTCATCGGGAACTTCTAGGGGATGTATGTCCGCCCTTGGAACTCCTAGGACCTCAAGAGCTATCAGCAGGAGCCCAACGAGTCCCTATGAGATTACATCCATAGGTTCTCGAAGTGGTGCAACTCCCTTTCTGATGTCGTCAATGCGGACATCATCAGCGCCTTACTCTCCGGGACAACCTGTGAGTCCATGATCCACAAGTTGGCTACCTGAAGCCCTATACCACCCGTGACCTACTTGACGTCACTACGAACCATGCCTCCGGTGGCGAGGAGGTGGTCAGAGCGGTCTTCAATGGGGGCCAGGACAAGGGCAAGGCCAAGTGCGAGGACCAGGACGAGGGCCCCTCCATGAAGAGGGGTAAGAAGAACAAGAAGGATCAGCGTCGATGGGCCAACTCCGCGTTGGTCGCTGCAGCTGATTGCGCGGGCAAGCAGCCCCAGCAGGGCCTATCTGACCACTTCGACAAGCTCATGGGTAGCCCCTCCACCAACCACACTTACCCTGTCAAGCTCCTCTACAAGGACTGTGAGCTCCTCAAGCGATTCCTACGACAGGCCGGTAGGCCAAAAGAAGGAAAAGGCAAGGAGGCAGCAGCCAAGAAATAAGGCGCAGCGGGCAAGGATGGGGACGGCTTCCCCGATCCCAAGGAATGCATCATGATATTCGGGGGAACCGATGCCATCTACTTCAAGTGCCATCACAAAGTGCGCTACTGAGAGGCGTGCGTCGTCGAAACCGGGATGCTACCTGCTTGTCACTTTTGATCAGAGGGACCATCCATCCCACGTCGCTAGACCGGGATGCTACCTGCTCGTCATCGACCCCATTGTCCACAAGAAGCGCCTCACCAAGGTGCTGATGGATGGAGGCAGTGGCCTCAACATCCTCTACGTCGACACCCTCGACATCATGCGCATCCCCCGGTCGGAACTCCGACCGGCGAGCTCTCCCTTCCACGGCGTGATCCTAGGAGCGCAAGCGTACCTGCTCGGGCAGATCGACCTGCCCATCATGTTTGGTGACTGAGCCAACTTTTGCTCGGAGGTGCTCACCTTCAAGGTTGTGGACTTCCCGAGGTCTTACCACACCATCTTGGGGCGGCCATGCTACGCCAAGTTCATGGAGGTCCCTAACTACACCTACCTGAAGCTGAAGATGCTGGGACCGAACGGCGTCATCACTGTGGGTAGCCCCTTCTCGCATGCCTTCACGTGCGACCGCAAGCATTACAAGCTCGCCACTGCCGTCATCAACTCTTCTGAGCTCTCGTGGCTCGGGGAGTTGTCGACCACAGCAGTCCCGGACTGCAACAAGCCAACCTCTTCGACTGCCTTCCGCCCACTCGAGGAAACTAAGGCGGTGGGGATCGACCCTATACGGTGAACGAAGTGATCCGACCGGACGCCTACCAACTGAAGGACGACAACGGCAACGTTCTCACCAACACTTGGAACATCGAAGAGTTACGTCGTTTCTTCCCTTAAAATTTTGGTCTTACCATTTTTTCATTCAACGTTTGCTCCTACAGAGCACCCCGACCCGAACACTTTTGGCCCGGGTCGCTCAAGGGATCCATGGAGGTGTGGTACCACCTCTCTTTTTGTTTACTATCATATGGTAAAAATCTTTCTACCCGAACAAAAGGGTAGTTCGTTCCTTTAATTACCTTACGTAACTTTGCTTTAAATATTCCGACCGATCGCACCCCGCCTCTACCTACGGTTACGAGCAGCTGAGCCTCGCGGGCCATGCCCGGGCTCTTAAGGTTGCAGCCTATGGGACGAATGGGCAAGTGCAAAAAAGAAAGAATAAAAAACAAAATTATGCTAAGGTAAAAATAAAGAACGGATGGGATAAGCTTCCCCGAACAAAGTGATTCATCATAAAACAAAATGGATGTATTCATGAATACAAACTATTCACA